GGACTATTATATCATGTACGTACTCTATTATACCAGGAAAGGACCATTATATTATGTACGTACTGTATTATACCAGGAAAGGACTATTATATCATGTACGTACTCTATTATACCAGGAAGGGACTATTATATTATGTACGTACTCTATTATACCAGGAAAGGACTATTATATCATGTACGTACTCTATTATACTATGAAGGGACTATTATATCATTATCTATTATACCAGGAAAGGACTATTATATCATGTACGTACTCTATTATACCAGGTAGGGACTATTATATCATGTACGTACTCTATTATACCAGGAAGGGACTATTATATCATGTACGTACTCTATTATACTATGAAGGGACTATTATATCATGTACGTACTCTATTATACCAGGAAAGGACTATTATATCATGTACGTACTCTATTATAGCATGAAGTGACTACTATATCATGTACGTACTCTATTATAGCATGAAGGGACTATTATATCATGTACGTACTCTATTATACCAGGAAGGGACTATTATATCATGTACATACTCTATTATACCAGGAAAGGACTATTATATCATGTACATATTCTATTATACCAGGAAGGGACTATTATATTATGTACATACTCTATTATACTATGAAGGGACTATGTTATCATGTACGTACTCTATTATACCAGGAAAGTACTATTATATCATGTACATACTCTATTATACTATGAAGGGACTATTATATCATGTACGTACTCTATTATACCAGGAAAGGACTATTATATCATGTACATACTCTATTATACTATGAAGGGACTATTATATCATGTACGTACTCTATTATACCAGGAAAGGACTATTATATCATGTACATACTCTATTATACTATGAAGGGACTATTATATCATGTACGTACTCTATTATACCAGGAAAGTACTATTATATCATGTAAATATTCTATTATACCAGGAAGGGACTATTATATTATATACGTACTCTATTATAGCATGAAGGGACTATTATATAATGTAAGTACTCTATTATAGCATGAAGGGACTATTATATAATGTAAGTACTCTATTATACCAGGAAAGGACTATTATATCATGTACGTACTCTATTATACTATGAAGGGACTATTATATCATGTACATACTCTATTATACCAGGAAAGGACTATTATATCATGTACGTACTTATACCAGGAAAGGACTATTATATCATGTACGTACTCTATTATACCAAGAAGGGACTATTATATCATATACGTACTCTATTATACCAGGACGGGACTATTATATCATGTACGTACTCTATTATAATATGAAGGGACTATTATATCATGTATGTAACGGACCGTTTTGCACACAAGGGGTAAAAACCGTTTAGGCGATCGGCCCCCTTTCCAGAGATCCAGGCACAGCTACTGCAGAACACCAAAACTCACGAACTGGATACAAAATGGCACTCCAACTCCCGAACTGGAACCTCCCAAATAGCTGCTAGCAGACGAACAGGAAAAGCAGACGAACAGCTTACACTCCTGGCAATCGATTACTCTAACGGCATACAGGTGAATCCCCAAAGAGCAGGAACCGAGGCTCTGTGTTGGGGTCAAGCAGTGGTCTGAGATTGCTGTACCCAATAGTTTTTATTCCGCAGTCTTGCAAGATACAGGACCCTTACAGGAGGGTATAAAACAATAATCACATCACAGTTACATCCACATATTTCTCCCCTTATCTGAGGAAACTCAATTATACAAACAGTTAAAACATACTTTCTACCCAACTTTCATAGCTCCAAAACCATACATCACATTCACATAAAATTACATATTCTCAATCAATCCATTCAGGGGAACAACATATTCAAAAATGGCACAAATCAGACAAGGGGTTCAAAAGTTAGTAAAAAGTCCTTTGTGACTAAATGAAGCATGGCTTTCTGGCCCCAAACCAGTTTCAGAGTCTTCTATCCTGGAGATAAGTAATTCAATTATCTCCCAGGACAGACACAAGACTCCATTAAGCACATGGTTGCAAAGAGACACAAAACACTTTAAAATACATAAAGTCACATTTATTACATAACACACAGACATGTAACATATCCCCAGATAGCTCAGGTCCGAGCGCACATTATTAAGTGAATGGCGCTCAGACCACACAGTCTAGTTTAATGTCATGGGCTAAAGTCTTTACAGTCAGTTTCATGCGAATGGGCTCCATGAGTTCCCTATCTGAACCAACACATTCAAACAAATCTACAGACTGGGCAGAAAGCACGAATACAGCTTTTCTGCATGCAAAAATAAAGTCTTTTAAAAGGGGGCCATAGTCCAAAGGCAGCAGGCGAGCAACCAGGCTTCTCCAATGCAATGTGGCGAGATTGGTCTCGTCACATCTCTCCCCTTTTTCAAACAGACTAACAGGGTATCTGACCTCCTGCCGGTCAGTGCCCTTGTTAGTCCAGCAGCCCACCCACAAAACAGAAAAAACAGTACAGCCCACCCACAATAAATGGTTACTACACCTGGGTAGGGAGAACCTTGTCCATGTCCAGGTGCCTCACCACGGCTGTGTGGGGAACTGTTAGGCTGCCTTGGTGGGTTGCTGCGTGGGCGAACCAGCGGCACTCGCTGTTGCCAGCGCTACTGGGAGGATAGCCTGGATTTGAAGCTAATGGATTTTATTTGGAGGAGACCGACTTTTATCTCCCCTTCATCTGCAGCTCTGCTGCTGGGCCGACATGCCAACTTTAGATGCACAGTCCTGCTGCTGGAGCCCGACCGTCTCCCCTTTGGTTACCCATCTCTGCTGCTGGAGGGGGAGACCGACTGTCTCCCCTTTGGCTAAACAGCCCTGTCGCTGGGGGGCAGGACCGACCGTCCCTACCCCCTGTGCTGGCAGTGTAGAGACTACGGTCCCATCTGCACGGTTGTGGGGCTTACTGTCTCCCCCTGATACATTAAGCTGCCGCTGGGGAGAGGGGGTAACATGCTCCTCTCTCATACATACTTCCAGCTGCGGGGAAGGGAGACCGACTGTCTCTGCTCCCAATAGAGAGTCCTGCTGCTGGGGAAAGGAGACTGGGCTCTCTATTCTCGGTAGGACACTCTGCCGCTGGGGAATGGAGACGGGGCTCCCAATTCCCAATAATCTGTGCTGCCGCTGGGGAATGGAGACTGGGCTCCCAATTCCCAAAGCATCATACTGCCGCTGGGGAATGGAGACTGGGCTCCCAATTCCCAAAACATCACGCTGCCGCTGGGGAGGGAGGACACTGCTCTCCTCTCCCTGGACTTCACACTGCCTTCCCGGCATATCACTTGGCTGCTGGGGGGCAGGAACAACTACCTCTGCCCCCTGTAACTCAGCCTGCCACTGGGGAGGGAGGACGCTGCTCTCCTCTCCCTGCACTTCACACTGCCTTCCCGGCATATCACTCTGCTGCTGGGGGGCAGGAACAACTACCTCTGCCCCTGTAACTCAGCCTGCGGCTGGGGAGGGAGGACGCTGCTCTCCTCTCCCTGCACTTCACACTGCCTTCCCGGCATATCACTCTGCTGCTGGGGGGCAGGAACAACTACCTCTGCCCCCTGTAACTCAGCCTGCCGCTGGGGAGGGAGGATACTGCTCTCCTCTCCCTGCACTTTACACTGCCACTGGGGAATGGAGACTGGGCTCCCAATTCCCTGCAGGACCGGTGGAGAGACCTCGGTCCCATCTCTACCGGCCACCTGGGGTTCTTCCCAGTAAAACTGTACCATCTCGTCCCCTCTGAATGGGTCTGGCTCTGGCTCTGGCTCTGTCACCTTGCTGTCCTGCTGAATCTTCTCAATGGAGTGGAAGAGATCTCGGTAGTCCTGCTCCAGTTCCCACTCCAGGGTTGCTAGGTGAGCCAGGTCTTGCTCAATGTCGTGAGTGTCGTCCCAGTCATACCTGCTCTCCCTCCACTCCAAGAGATCACTGAACCGGGCTTGTGTAGGGCTCCCAAATTCAGGCTCTGAAAAAGCCTCCCATAACAAGCCAGGACCATCAAACTCCTCTCCCTCTGGCTTGTCATGCTCGGCTGTCCAGGGCAGGTACTGTGCCCCATACCACCAGAGCGCCTGGTAGGCATCTTCCAGCCAAATCTCCTGCCATACCGGTGCTCCAATTCCTTCACCCATTCATCCAGGGGCTGCTCTCCCAGGAAGGGCATCCGCAGGGCCACTTGCTTCTGCAACCGCTGCTCTTCACTGGGGAGACTCTCGCCCCGCTGGTACTGTACATTATCCAGGGCCTGGTACCAGATGCCTTTCCTTAATGCATCCCGGCCATCCAGGTCCTCCTCCTCGTATGACACTGCTGGTTCCATGCTGTTGCTGTCAGGGTCGCTGTACTCAGACATGCGTTGCCCTCAAATTGTAAATCCACGAATGGTGTCGCCTGTAGCTGTCCTGTAGTCTGTGGGAACGATCCCGCCGCTTGCCACCAATTGTAACGGACCGTTTTGCACACAAGGGGTAAAAACCGTTTAGGCGATCGGCCCCCTTTCCAGAGATCCAGGCACAGCTACTGCAGAACACCAAAACTCACGAACTGGATACAAAATAGCACTCCAACTCCCGAACTGGAACCTCCCAAATA